ATGTTAGAACTCTCTCACTGTCTCTCCAGAGTTTGTAAACAGATCCACAAGCTGTCAGTTTCTGAGCTGAGGGTTATGAAATATCACTTTATTCATTTTCCGTCCTTTTATGTAATTTCTGATCCTAAGCCATCGTTGTCTAGTGCAGGAGTTCAGCTCCAGTGGGATTCTTGTGCCATAGGAAGGATGTGTGAAGTCGGCAAAAAATGAGGAATCTGACCACCGGTTGTTACAAAAGCAGCCAGGGACAACTGGAGAAACTGGTTTCTGTAACAGATCAGAGAGATTTGGTTTTTCTGTAGGGGCCTTTGTTCCCAGTAAACTCAGGCATAATCACGACTAACAAGGCAAAGTTTCCATAAGAATAAGCATCGCAAAAGTTAGAGAAGCCTGAAGCCCATGGGTTCCCTAAGATCAGTGCAGCAGTCTGCAGTATTGTTTCCAGAGGTCCTTGCCAAATGGATGGGATTCTCCAAAGGGCCTTGTCATCTAAGGAGCTCCATTTGCAACACATCTATGCACTGTTCCCAAGGGTGACAGTGTGGCTTCTGGCAGTCTAATGTGGAGGAAAGCAATCTTAAACTTTTGGTGACTTCTCATGGTCAGCGTCACATCCAGAGTTGCTCGTACTACTTAGGTCTGTGTATTTGAGGGCACTAGCATTATGGGCAAAGCTGGGTTACGAGGCAGGCACATTTGGTATCTATGGAATTTTCCCTGTTCTGTACTTGGCCTGGGATCACTTCCTGGATTCTACCCTCTGGCATGCATGTCCTTTGGAGAGAAAATGGGGACCTGACACTTCTAATCTGCATCCTCACGTGATAGCACCTTAAAACTGCTTTTGCTTAAAAAAAAAAAAAAAAGCCAAACTAACAACAAAACAAACAAACAAAAAACATCCCAGCATCGAATCCACAATTGGGCTTACAAGGTAACTAAAATATTGATGAAGGCCAGCATCTCTTTCTTCATCTTGTGTCTTCCTACCTAACCAATCATAGCATATCCCTTCAAGGCTAATGACATAGTAGGCTGTTGTCCCCAACCAGCAGTCACCTCAGACAACTCTTTTTATTAATAAGAAGGAAGATTCGACAGAGTCACAGACCCTACTCCCTCCAGATGAGGGCAACTGCCCCTGGAGCTGAAGTGACCGTCTTGTAGACTGCTGACCTCTAGGGATAACACCGCCCCACAGCTGAGATAAGCCAATGGTGGGCATGAGGACACCTTGGCCAGGGCTAGTTAGTCATACATACCTCTAGCCTCTCCTTAGCTTAAAGTTCAGTCCAGATCTTGAAAGATAGGCTTTGGGTCACATTGATTACATCCCCTCTCTCTGGTTTTCACCATTGCGTGTCTATTTTAT